ATGAGATGAGATTAAATTTTTTCTTAGGTTTAGTTGATGGGTTAATAGGTCTTGGGTTTAGAAATGTTTAGGCTATGATTAGAGAAAGACCCAAGTAGTTAGATGAGAATTAATATATTGGATCGGTTTGGATTGGATTGGTTTTCATCAACCCATCCAAAAACCGATCCAATCCAATTAAAATTTGCGGTTTTTTTCGGTTTTCGCTTTTTCGGTTTTCGGTTCATTCGGTTTTCGGTTTTTCGGTTCGGTTACCGCGGTTTGAATCGGTTTGGATCGGTTGATGAACACCCCTACTAATTAAGTAGAAGAGGAAGAGATTGGTAGGAGTTATTTCTCTTTAATTAAATAAAGGTTATTATTATTTTTGTTTCTAGTATGGGAAAAGTGAAAAGAGTTCACGAAAAATATATAGGTTGCTTTGAAATCCTCCTAATTAAATGGAGAAGATTCTAGAGTATAGAAGAGAATCCTCCTGCCATCTGTAAACAGGGAATAAAGAGAAGGTTTGAAACACCAAGCAAGAAAGCAAGTAATCCTCATTGAGATAGATTCTATTAAAGAGAGACTATCTGTAATCCAGTCTTCTATTGGGTGAGGAATTGTGAGTAAAACTCTCAATTTTATAAGAGAGAGAAATATCCTTTTCAATTTCATTTTCATAGTGAATGCTTTTCTTATAGAGTAAATATCATTTTTGGTCTTCAGTTACCTGTTTTAGTCCCTAGCAAATAAAAAGGCCCATAGTGATTCCTCAAAAATTCAAAATGAGCTCATTTAGTTGAAATTATGGTCTCTCGCAAATTTAAAAAAGAGCCATATTAGTCCCTAAAAGGATTAATATGGGTCCATTTTAAATTTCTTACGGACCACGAAAGGCCTTTTTAATTGCTAGGGACTAAAGTGGGTATCGTGAAATTTGCTGAGGACCAAAAATGATATTTACTCTTTCTTATATTTGTTCCCATGATTTTTAATTCTAGAGTAAATATCCTTTTTGTTCCTCATCAAATTTTACGATACCCGTTTTAGTCCCTAGCAAATAAAAAGGTCCATCGTGGTCCCTAAGAAATTCAAAATGAATCTATTTAATTGAAATCGTGGTCCCTCACAAATTCAAAAAAGATCCATATTAGTCCCTAAAAAGACTAAAATGGGTCCATTTTGAATTTTATAGGATCACGATGGGTCTTTTTATTTGCTAGGGACTAAAGCGGGCATCGTAAAATTTGTTGAGGACCAAAAAGAGTATCTACTCTTAATTCTAACATTGAGGGGATTTTCTATCTTAAAATGTTGTGTATTTCTATTTTATCTTTTACATTTTATAATTTATTTTCGTTTATTCTATACGTGTGATTTTTCTATAAAAAAATCATAATTGAAAACATATTAATGATGTTAAAATGTAAATGAAAACATGCATTTTCTATTAGAAGGTTCTCGGGGGTGTTTGGTAGGTAGGGATATTTTGGATTCCTAAGAAAGTGGGATTGGGAATGTTATTCTCTCACATTTGGTATAAGGGAGAGGGAAAAAATTTATGAAAAAATTATAATCTCAAAATTTTAAATTAGACATGACAATCCCACCGAAGATACCATATAACATATGGTATTTTTTTTTTTTTTGGTATGCATAACGTATGGTATTTTAAGGCAAAAGTATTTGTTATTGTAAATAACACAAAGTTATGTCATTTTAAGAGAGATAGATACAGAATAATTTTTTTGATTCAAAATTTAAATTAAAAAAACCAATAACTTTCTCTCTCGTGATTTTTATTTTTTGCATTTATTTTTCTCCTAAAATGACATAAGTTATATCATTTCAAACGACAAATCGATCTGTTTTACAAATCCTATGGGTGGGAAAATTTATCAATTTTTTCGGACAAAATTATTCCTCATTTCTTCGTCCCTGTTCTTCTTTCTGTGAGCATCTCAGTGTTTTCCCCACAAAATAAGGAACAACATTGGACTTCATCGCCCACTCTCAATGCTCTCTTCAAACTCAAAGCAACTCTTTCTTTCAGTGCTGCTTCTGCTTCTGCTTCTACTTCCTATTCGTTAACTAAACTCCGCGTGGGTGAAGATTTACCAACACATTAGGGTGATTGGTTTCCCAAGCCCCAACCTCACCTTATCAGAAGAGCCGGTATTCTACTCCATCTGACATCATTTCGAGGCCCTAATTATGGGATTGGCGATATCGGAGACGAGGCTTTTCGTTTCGTGGATTGGCTCCATTACGCAGGTTGCTCTGTTTGGCAGGTTCACTTTCTCTTTTAATAACATTCACATAGAAAAAATAATAAAAATCATTTGTTTTCCTCAAATTATTTAAATCTGAATATGCAATATTTGCATTGCATGTGCTTCCTCTTGAGCCTCTTGGAAGAAAGGCTAACGAAGAGGGATCCCCTTACACCATCTCTAACTCTCATATACATATAGTTTAAGCTGATAGATTTATGTGTTTTTTTTTTCTTTCAATTTTTCATGTCTTGGTTGATTGATTTTATAAGTATGTGAAGTTTTGTGACTAAAGATGTACTTGAAAGAGCAATTTGGGGTTAAGAGACAGTAAAGGAGAGAAAGGAGAAGTCAATAATTTCGAGGTTAGTTTTGGAAAATGACTGTACGCTTTGCTAAGAAACGTCCACGAGAGAAAGTGGGAGGCGGCGAGGCTCTGATACCATGTAAAGAACTTGGGATACACCACCCCAATAGCTAGCTCAAAGGGTGAGAGTGCTCAAGACTTTATAAACTCCACATTAGTTGCACATACAACTAATGTGAGACTATATATCGCAACAATGACAAAATACAAAGTTGTTAAAAAAATCGTAATTTTATAATCTCCCAATATAATTCCACACTTTTTTCCTCCGAAATGTAACTTCTACTTTGTAAGGCCCAAATCTATTGATCAGATTAACTTTTTAAATATTTTTATACCCATATCACTACAAAAGAAGAAGTAAATTAGCTATAGTAGTCAAATAAGTCATTTAATCGTGGTTGCGCACCGAGAGTAAACACAACTTACCTGTGGCGCAAATATGGCAGTTGCGTATCTCCTTTTTGCATAACTAGTTGCACTCCCTTTCATAACTATTACATTATTTCGGGAAATAATTTTAAATGCCTTCATTAAGCAATTGATTTTTAAAGTTACATTAATTAGGTGGTTTTACCATGCTTTACAGCCAAACCTGCCAATGCACCGCGTGTGTTCATCAAAGTCCTTCAAACCCAGCCAACTAGTATGATATTGATATTGATATTGATATTGATATAGATTTTGGGCTATAAGAAAACAAAAGTGTACTTGGACTAATAGTTGTAACTTCTTGCTTAGTAAAAAGCTTTTGATTCAACAATTGAATCATGGGGGAGTCATTTGCATTGCACGATGTTAAGAGTGTTAGTGTTAATAGTGTAGAAGTCCCACATTGAGTGTATCTCTCTGTATTCTTCAATTGGTTTGCTATATAATAGCACCAATGTTGTGTAGTTTAATACAACAAGGATTACTATCATTTCCTCTTGTATCTATGATATTCAACATAGTATCAGAGCTTGAGGTTCGATCCTCACCGCCCCCACTTTAAAGTGGAAGCACAAAAAAGGTAAACCAAAGATTGGGCCTGTTGCATAATCCACGCTTCAAGCCAAGAGGGTTCTTGCGTGAGGGGGCGTGTTGAGATATATAGTCCCACATTGGTTGAAGAGCAACTAATGTGGAGTTTATAAGGCCTTGAGCACTCCCACCCTTTGAGCTAGCTTTTGGGGTGGTGTATCCCAAGGTTCTTTACATGGTATCAGAGCACCGAAGTTCTGACATTGTCTCCGCTGATGTTAATTCCGACACCGAAGTTCCTCTTGAGGGGGAGCATTGTCCATGTTGCTGATGGTCATTCCAGCACAATTGTCTCTTTTTCCCTTCCTCTCTGTGGTAGCTAGGCCTGGTAGCATGGTTAACGGTAGCATGTTTGCTAGTCTTGTCGGACTAGGAGCTCTACTAGGCTTGACCGTGGGAAATGGACTTATTATTGCTCAAGTCAAGTGGACTTTCATTTGGCTCTAGACTACGATTCGATAGAGAACGATTTGGCACATCTTGGATTTCCTGGTATGAAAGTAGTTAGGCCTTTGCCCATGATAATTTCGGCACTGTTTAGAAGTTCCTCTTGAGGGGGAGCACCGTCCATGTTGCTGATGGTCATTCCAGCACAATTGTCTTTGCCGATGATCATTTCGGCATCTTCCATGTTGATGTTCATTTCGACGCCATTTTTAGCACATTGTTGATTTTTGGTTTCTCATTTAGGAGATTTATTTTGATGTTATGTTACTTGGTCTTTCTTGTAATAAGCTTGTAGCGTAGTCAAGGGGAAACCACGGCTGCTCACCAACTGTTAAATGAAATGTCTGAGAGGGATCTTGATGTTGATGTCCTGGTCAGCTCAGTTGTCTTTGCCGATGATAATTCCGGCACCATCCATGCTCTGATGTCCATTCCAGCACTGTCTCTTTATCAGCTCTTCAGACTGATGGTCATTCCAGTTGATTTGTTGTACTTAGTCATTTCATTTCGTTGATGTAGCATTGTTGTTTTTGGTTCCTAATGGGAGTATTATTTATGTATCAAGCTTGTAGCATATGATCTATATGCTACAGCTTGAGGGGGAGTGTTAAGAGTGTTAGTGTTAATAGTGTAGAAGTCCCATATTGAGTGTGTCTCTCTGTATTCTTCAATTGGTTTGCTATATAATAGCACCAATGTTGTGTAGTTTAATACAACAAGGATTACTATCATTTCCTCTTGTATCTATGATATTCAACACACGAGATCTCATGAACTTGCATTCTTCTAAGATATGAAGCAACAGTTACAAGTGAAGCTGTGCTACATACAATCTCAGGCAAACATGTATACATGTCAATCTCAATCACACAAGCCAAGCCATAAAATCAGAGCATGGAGTAGTTATTTTAGGTCCAAGCCTCTCCACTTGCTTACCTAGTATTTATAATGCCAAGACCAGCAGGCTTCTTAGTTGGCCTGCTGAATTGAAATACAGGGTGCCTGCATAGCCTGCGCACTCCTTTTCTCAATCTCAGCCAATGTTCGCTGTCATATCTATTTTCTAAAGCATGATTACTCTCATATCTAGAACTAGAAGGTGAGCTACCACCTGAAACAGATTCAAATTCCAGGCTTCCATTTCCCTTCTCCTCAGAGCTCCAAAGTTTCTCCTCAATACACCATTCTATTCTTCCCAAGGTAGAACAAGTCCTCCATAACTTACTCTTGACTGTGGCACAAGTATCCTCTGTTTGCTCGCAACATCCCTCACTTATAATTTTAAAAGGATGTGAATCGCCTTTGCAGGAGGGAGATGAAAACTCTGTCGCCTTGGCAATTGATTCATGTCTCTCTCGAAGGGTCTTCAGAACCAATGTCTTAAGGAAGTTCATGACTTGCACTGCATGAATCAATGCAGTCAAAGGGTCGGCCATCTGCATAGCACAGGAAAACAAGCATTTAAATTAAACATGCTCTTACCATAAATAACATGTACATACAATGCCGGTCATTGTTCATCATTATACCATGCCCATTAATATTAGTATTATTAAGAACCAATTCAACCCAAAAGCTTAAGTTATTAGGTGAGACTACATTAATGATTTTATATATCTCAACGCGCATCCTCACACGAGAGCTCACTGGGCTTGAAAAGTGGACAATGCACAAGTCCACCTACATGTGCGAAGAAAGAAATTCCACTTGAAAGAAAGTGGGAGGCGGTGAGGATCGAACCCGGTACACCGAGGCTCTGATACCATGTTAAGAACCAATTCAACCCAAAAGCTTAAACTATTGTGTGAGGCTACATTAATGATTTTATATATCTTAACAAGTATATTGAATACTCTAAATTTCAATTGCTAATTCTATCAATAACATATTTCTGAAAACAACTATTTTTTCATTGTTTCTTTAAAATGATGGAAAAATGGTTCAAACATAAGAGAACCAATGAATAAATTGAAAATATTATATGATATTAGGTTGTTCAACTAAATAATGAGCCTAACTATAAAGCAGAAACAACAGAAGGAACAAAACCATACATCTTTGATTATAATGTAACTAACCTGTGTCATGTTGGGCGCAAAAACCATAGCAATATTGCGTGCATTCATCTTGTTGAACTGTTCATTTTCAACAACGTCTGCCATCAAATTGATTGCCCAGTCAAGCAGTGCAGCTTCTGTTGAAGGAAGTAGCTTGACAAGATTAGTACAATCCTCTTCTGAATTGCAGTGCATCACCTGTTCTGGGGTGAGAGAATCAAGTACCCCAGTTGGAAGCTCTCTAAACCAAGCCTGCAAGCCATGAAAAACGTACCTCGTTAACAGTTTAGGAAAATTGTCAACATCATAACACTAAAATATTTATTCCATGCAGGCACTGAGTTGTTTATAAGAAAGAACCCCTTAATAATGCATTTTAATATGTACCTTCATCAAACCAGATAAACAATGAACGTCGATTCCACGTGGCACTAGACCTCTGTTTAACTGATTACGAACCAACTCTTCTTGGCTGTTATCAGCATTTATTCGAAATATTCCTTCTGCCTACAGGCATGGCAAGCATGAAATTAGACCTCAAAATAATGTAAAAGTAAAGGGGATTTATTCAGTACTCAAGGTAGGTTGTCAAATAAATTTCATTGGTGATCGGTTATATTTAATGAATTCATACACATTTATAATAACGCCAAACAACCAATAGGGGTTTCATAATTAAGTCAATGTACCGGTATACGGTAAGTACCGTAGCAATTGCCATAAATAAAGCCAATTAAATGCTTTTAAAAACTAATTCGACACAAACAGAACATACCTTAAGGCCTCCCTCTGAATACAATCGCTTTTGCATCATCAGCAGAATCGTTGGGACACTGTTCCCCCTTTCATCGTAAGAGCACTGCATTGACTTTGCCGAAACTCCAAATACCTTTGCACTGCATGATGATAAAACTCAAGTCAAAGATGGATTTAAAAGAAAAATAGAGTAAGAGTATAAGAGAATAATATAAACCATTAATAAGGTCACCACTTAACAATTTTAGCTTTTGATTTGAATTGGTTTTTTCCATATTGTATTCAATGACCACGAGGTCACAAGTTCAATGCTCACTAGGGATGTGCATGAGTCGAACCGAATCGAATTTTTTGAAAAACTGAACCGAATTGATTTAAATGGTTCGGTTCGGAAGTGGTTTGGTTCGGTTCAAAACTAGTTCAGTTCGAAAGTAGTTCGGTTCGGTTGGAAACGGTTCGGGTCGACCCTTTTTTTGAAAAGAAAAGAAAAATTAAAAAATAAAGTTATAAAAATCAATTTGGTTCGGTTTGAAAATGGTTTGGTTCGGTTCGGAATCGGTTTGGAAACGGTTCGGTTCGAAGTGGTTCAGTTCTTAAACTGATTTTAAAAACCGGTTCGGTTCATAAACTGATTTTTAAAAACCGACTATTTTAAGGAAGGTTCGGTTCAGTTCATGGTTCGGTTCAGTTTTTTTGGTTATTTTGCACATCCCTAATCCTCACAGCCCTCACATTCTAATGGAATTAAATCAACAAGATAAGCTTGAACTCCAAAGAGCTCTTGTACGAGAAGGTGTGTTAGAAAATAATATAAACTATTAAAAATCTCTCGCCCACAGCAATTGAATTTCCTTATCAGTAAGCAGCGAAGAGGCAAGTAAGAAATTCACAACCAACAACCACAAAATCAATCAAAGAGCCTTTCTAAGTTGTATTCAGTTTGTAGCCGCAAGCCCACAAATCCAGAGACAACGGTTTTTTTTCACCTCAGTTTTAAGTGATCAGAGTATTTGAGTGAGAGATATAAGCCGATTGATTTATCAAACATAAATGGGACCATATTCCTTTCGCATTCAGCCTAACCAACATTAAAATTTTAAACTTCCGATGTGCAATCAAAACCAAAGGAAACCTTTGATGGATTCACAGCTATCAAGCAATTTTTTTTAATTAAAAATCAATTCAAGATTTGAACTTTGAACTGATGCCAGCCAAGTGATAAAGCCAAAATCTGACCGAAGTTTAAAAGTGGGTTGGGAACTTAAAACTTACACTGAACCACCTCAAACAAAACCCAAAATCTTCTCCGTTCAGAACATCCTGTTGGATGCAAAAATGGCAAACAATTCTGCATCTGAAGATGCATTCCAAATTGAGGCCATTTGGTTAGCAGGATCTTCATCAATTAATCCAAACAGATTCAAATCGCATTGACCGAATCGAAAAACTGATAATCGAATTAACCGAAAATCAAAAATTCAAAAACCGAAAAAAAAAACTGCATATTTTAATTGAATTTGATCAATTTTCGGTTTGGTCAATAAAAACCGATCCAATGTATTATGTATTTATTATTTTCGAAATATGGTGATTCATAATTTGAGTGTTATTGATAGCAAATTATCTTGTTTTATTTTTTATTGTCTATTAATCTATTTTAATTATTTATGAGTTTATGGTTTTATTTTGATATAACAAGTTATTAAATTTTAGGATTTTAGAAAAACTGGAGACTAATCCAATTCAAACTGAATAAAATTGAATTGAATTTTAAAAAAAATTCAAACTGAATAGACGAATAAATAATCAAACCGAATGGATTGAATCCAATGATTTTTTCTTCAAAATCGATCAAATTCAGATCGACTCTGTTGCCTAGTTCATTACAATCTTACTGATACACCGAAAAGACAAATGTATCTAATTCTAAGAAATCACAAGTTAACACTCTATCTGATCAGAACGAAATCTCAACAAAGTTGAACATTTAGTGTTTAGGTCCATTACCCAATTTGATGTTCTGTTATCTGTTATTAAGTAACAGCTAAGATTAGTTAAAAAGAAGAAAGGAAGAAAAGAATAAAGAGTTCACCTGGCACTAGGCACCCTCCTTGGAACCTCGGGCTCTAGCTCAGTGGGCAAACCAAGAAAGCCATGGAACCTATCAAAGGTAACATGAGAGACATGGCGAACCTCCGTTGGCCAGCTAATATCCAAGGAAGAAGAAACATCCTCCCTCTCCACACTGCAACTAACCAATGACTTCTTGAGCGCAGCCACCAGAATATCCAATATGGCAAACTGGTGCTGATTTTGTGATTGGAAGCCACGACCACCTGCTTTTGACACTGGATTGATGAACGGCGTTGAAACGGGGTTGCTTGAATCATCTTCATAGTCGTCACTATCTTCTTCTTCTTCGTCCTCATCTTTCACATTGTGAAAAAATGGACTTGGCGGAGAAGGGTTGAACTCGACCAGTCCGCAAGATTTGGATCGGAATAGCCGAGTCATTGTCTTAATTAATGAAGAAGCAATAATGGGTTGGTGTTAAAAGGATCTGAATGTGTGTGTGTGTGTGTGTGTGTGTGTGATGTGAGAAAGAGAAATAGTATTAAAATGGGGCAGTAAAACTGAAACTAAAAGGGAATACTTTTAAAGGCAATTTGATAATCGAGTTGGGTTTGGTTAAGGTCGATGGAGACAAGTTGCTGTTGTTTTTGTTTGTTAGTATTATTATGTTGGTGTTACTTTGTAGAGAGTAAGAAAAGGTCGGGTTAGTGGGAAAAACTCTAGGTAGCCTCGTGACTTGATACAGAGACGGAGCAAAATGATCAACAGAAACACAAGTCTATTTGAGAGTGACCCTTAACTGGAAGAGTTTACGGTAGTTTTATACAGTTTTGACATTTTTGCAAGTCGTTGATTTCAGACATGATGCTTTCACCTAACTTAGTTATAAGTAAGATGATGTAAATAAATAAATAAATAAAAACAAAGAATTTAAATAATAGTCTTATCAAAATTTGTATTTCTGTTTAAAGTCTTTTTTATTTTATTTTAAACATAATAATGTTATGTGAAAATTTATAATGGAATAATTCATTGCACGTCGTTGCCGCATTTTGATTCGTCCATCTATATGGAGTACAGATTTATAAAGGAAAATAAAATGTCTGATGTATCTTTCACCTCACATCAAGAAAGATACTCAACCTTCTAACAGAGGAATAACAGGGTGCCAATAAAAAGCTGAACAGAAATTTAGGAAGAACTAATCACGCCGTTTTCCATGCTTCATCATATAGGGGAAACTTTCTTAGATTATTGAACAAGTAAAATAGAAAATTTTCAACATTATAATGGATTTTTTAACAGCTAAAAAGTAACGCTGTTTTTGGTATTGGCTTCTGAAGTCCCACGTGGGTACATGTAGTTTTGTTCCTTCCTTGATGGAAGCTGAAAAACTTTAATTGCTGCTTTGGTTAAAGAATGAATTCTACAAAGTTTACTTCAATCAAGTGGAATTGTATTATATTTTCCATGGTGGCCCAATTGGATGGGGGGCAGACTCAATTAAATATCCATTGTAGAAAGATGGTGGTGGCATGAGAACATGTCCATGCATGCATGATGAACACATCATGCAAATGCACTTTCCTGTCCTGTCGTTACTATGCCATCTCCGCGTGCATGTTTTCTAGCCCTGGCGTTTCTTTGGTCCCCAACCTTACACATCACATGTATTGTTTGCTAGTATATCATGCTACAAGGTGTAAGTATAACCATATATCTTGTTTGCTTTGCTTATACCGATGGAGTCAAAAAAACTAATTTCTTTATATGAGTTCTTTAATCCTAACGTCACAGAAGTGAACTCAACATTATCTTCTAAACACAACAAATTTGGAACTTCTATGTACTAAAATAAGAGTTGGGACTTCGTTTTTATCTCGATTAGAGTTTTATTATTATATTAATTTTATAAATTTTCTAATGGCAGACATTAGTTTGTTGTTGTTGTTAGATGTTAGATCTTGTACTAGTTATTACTGCAATGCCATCTGTTTTTATTTAGGATCCAAGTTAATTAAATCAACATCAACATTAACAACACTTTTATCTCAAATTAATTGGGGTCGGAGATAGATAAATCCAAATAAAAGATACAAAAAAAGTTGAAAAAATAAAAATAAAAGTAAAAAAAATAAAAAAAAAATAGAATAGTAAATATATATATAAGTAAAAAAGAAAGAGAAATGAAGGGGAAAAAAACTAAAAAAAGATCATCATTAATTTTCTCCATTCCGTTCTAAGATATACCATTTGCCAATCTATATCTCACTCCATTAAATTTTATTTTATTACCTTTTCCCAAGTAAGTTTCGGTCTACCTCTACTTTCCCCAAGTTTAATTAAATATCTTAGGAAAATTAAAATGCAACTATTTGAGTTAAAATTTAGACATTATAATTTAAAATATATTTTATGAATATAGATTTGTAAAAAAAATTGTATATCTTCAATTCAATGAATCAGTACTATCTGGCCTTGGGAAACCAATCTAGAATCTTGGCGGGGAAACGTAAAACGTAATCAAAGGGTACAATCTGTTTTCTCTATGTACACTCGGCACCCTGCCCTGTGGTTCTTGACCATCACTATAGTTCCGAGCCACCCCTGCTTCTATAAAACACTCCTTTCTATTGTAACTTACATATAATCAGTTATTGCTTAGAAGTTGCTTTTGCATACATTGCTTCGAATGATTGATGATTGAATATATATGTACCGATGATTAATTATGGTCATCATTCCTGAAACACCCACCATCATTTATACTGTTCAAGTCATTATCATGTGGTTGCCTCTGAAGCAAAAAATAACATACATTACCCATTCCATGCATATATTCTATATTGGCTAGGAGTTACTTTTAAGCTACTCCATTACGAGCTTCTTCAAAGTTCAAACCCTCCACTAAGGGCGTTTTCTTTGGGGGATGAGAATAAAGATATTTGGTGGAGGTGTACGTGTACGTGAGTAACAGTTTAACTAACCACACCAACTACAACTAGCTAGAATAAAACTTCTTAACGAATGAAAAGTGTGAGCTCTAAGGTATTGAATTGAATATATATTGGGCGGCATACAAGTTGAAATAGCTTACGAGATGTCAAAGTTATTTGTACTCTTATAACCTTTTGGAACCTTTTTGATGCGTTGTTTTACAAAACATACAAACAGAAGAAGTTGACTTAATCCAGGCCGTCTCATCTTATCGGTACAATATAAAAAATTATATGACCCCAGCAGATATGACGTAAAAGTTCTTTTATATAGTCTTTATTTTTAAATTTTTTTTCACTAGTTAATTAATTATTCGATTATTCCAATCGAATCGGACAGAATTACTAAGGATAATAAATCTTTTTGTACCTTTAGCCATCACTGTTCCCTCGCAATCTTTTGTGTAACATGCTTCATCTTAACTAATCAATTAAAATCTCAATTTATGTAGAGTTCATTTACTTTCTTTAATCATACTTTTATTTCTTATTAAAAACTAATATAGTTGTTATGCTTTCATATATCACTTGTATACATATATACATATGATACAAGTGTAAGTTTGTAAGAAAATAATATATATCATAATAAAATAATTTATATGTTAAATATTTTCTTTAATTTCACTCAAAAAATTAGGTCAAACCTCAAATTAATGATGAGTGTCAGTGTGAATCATAACTTGTGTTGAAATGCAATAATTCTTTATCGATCCATGAACTTTGGCTGAAAACTAAAGCATGTTATATATATATAGATGATTCCGCTTTAGCTTCAATCTTCTTTTACGACATAACATCTTTTCTATTTATTCTGATGAAAAACCTAAAATGAAGATCTTGTATAAATTTTGGGTGATTGGATACTAAATTCTGTGAAATACTGTTGTTACCTTTTACCTGTGTCAATTAAGATATCTATACTATCTTGAATTTAAGACTTTAAAAAAAAAATATTGTTTGTAGAATCAGAAATCAGAATTGGGCAGAACAGTAATGGGTGTGCATCATAAACTATCAAGTCGGGCAGAGGTAGATTCTGGGCTATGATTGGGCTGGATGCTAAATTATAATTGGGCTGTCTAAATATATTTGCACAAAATTTTAGGCCCGAAATTATATGGTCAATTATTTTTGAACTCACCTCCCTGTGGACTGCACTAACTTGCAGTATTAACATTTTCTGTTTTCACTTATTTTCAATGACCAACAATTTTAATTTTACAAAAACAGAAATATATCTTTAATTCATGAAGAGAAATCTGTCAACAGTGCATTGCAAAATGAACTTAAGAGGTTACACCAAGTAGTCAATCCTGGCCATACCTAAACAAGCGACAAGCAATATCACTGATCTCTCAGCATAACTATGGGCAAAATTACTGAGCAGTAGCTCCAATATCATATCAAACAAAACTCAATTCCGAGCAATTAAGACAGTCAAAAGATTCAGGACTCATTTTTAGATCATTTACAATATAAATTGAGTGTATGAATAGTGATACTGAGATAGTATGTATAAGTGGCAGTGCATCAGATATTTAATTCAATGTCTATGATTTACGTACCCACATTCCCACTTTATTATAGTTTTATTTATTTTATTTTGTTTGAAATCGGCTATTTCGAAATAAGGATTGCAATTAATAAGATAAATACAGAGTTATAATTGTTCATTGAAAAATTAAAAGTTAAAATTATAATGAAATATATGTACATTTACATATATAACAAATTAGGGAAAAGTTCAAAAAATTCCATATACTTTTGTTTTGAATCAGTTACCCTTTATGATTTTTTTTATCCAAATCCATCCTTATTACCGTTATAGACCTAATTAATTTTCTTATTTTACTCTTCTTAAAGGGTAAAGAATAGACTGATGACAAAAAATAAAGAGAAAAAAAGGCAAAAACGAAATAGAAGAAACAAAATCAATATTATAAATTTGTAACATATTTAGCTTTATTTTTTCTTCTATTTTTTAGTCCTCAATTTTTTTTTTAATCAGATACATTTGTTCTTTTTTTCTTCTATTTTTTTAATTTTTCTTTTTTAACACTGTTGAAAGAAATAAGAAAAAAAAAAGAAAAACAAGAAATAGAAAAAAAAAATTAATTTTGTAAGTTTCCAACATATCTGGTCATATTTTTTCTTTTATTTTTATGTGCTTAGTTTGTTGTTGTTTTTTTATTATTTAAACATATATAATCTTATTTTTTTTCTTTTATTTATTTTTTGTCATTCTATTTTTTTTATTTAGACTATTTTCATTTATTTTTTACTTTTAGTTTTTTATCTTACTAGTTTTCAACATATTTGGTATTATTTTTTCTTCCATTTTTTGTTCTTGATTTTTTTTTTAAATATATTTTGTCTTTTTTCCTTTTTTTTAAATTTTTTTTCCTTTTATTCTTTAATGTAAGTGTTCTAATTTTCAACATA